AAGGATACCTATGTTCTAATCCACCTATCAGTCTAGGACAGGGGTGGGAAACTTCAGGACCTGGGGTCAAATGTAGCCCTCCATGCCTTTGTCAGGGCCTTGGAGAGCTCCACAAACCACACCCTCTTGTGCCCCAAGGTAAAAGACTTCTGGGAAAGGATTTATAATGAACTGAAAAAAATGTTGAAAAACACATTTACAGTGGTGCCTCGCAAGACGAAATTAATCCGTTCCGCGAGTCTCTTCGTCTTGCGGTTTTTTCGTCTTGCGAAGCACGGCTATTAGCGGCTTAGCGGCTTTAAGAAAAAGGAAACAAACTCGCAAGAACTCGCAAGACGTTTCGTCTTGCGAAGCAAACCCATAGGGAAATTCGTCTTGCGGAACGACTCAAAAAACGGAAAACTCTTTCGTCTAGCGAGTTTTTCGTCTTGCGAGGCATTCGTCTTGCGGGGCACCACTGTATTAAAAAGCTGTTTTACTTGGTATAGTGGAGGGTGAAATCCCCAAAAAGGATGTTACTTTTTTTCTGTATGCCACAACAGCTGCGAGAATATTGCTAGCGAAGAACTGAAAGAAACAAGATTTACTAACTATCGAAGAATGGCAGATGAAGATGATGGACTATATGGAACTTGACCGGGAGACTCCAAGACCAGAGAGAAGAGACGGCGGAAGAAGATTAGAAGAAGTTTAAGGAATATTTGAAAAAAATATGTTAATATTTAAATTTTATAATAGCTTTGGAAGTGGATTTAGGCTGTAGGGTTAGAAGTAGAAGATAGTGTATTTTAAAATAGTAATATTTGCAAGTGATAAAATGTGAATATTTTTATGGTTAAAGTAAGTGTGATAAAAAAAATAGTTAGAAATTATGATACTGCTAAAGATGAAGTAAAATGAAAATCAGATGGGGGGGATTTGGGGAAACCCACCTAACAATGTTTAGAAAAAATAAGGATAAGACAAGAATCTGTTTCTATTGTTTGTTTTCCTGTTTGTGCTGTTTATTTGTGTTATAAAATGAATAAAAAAAATTGAAAAACAAACAAACCCCACCCCCTCACCACAGACCACGCCCTCCAATTGCCCTGCTTTGCACCTGTGCGTTTTTGCATGTCTGGACTGTGGCCTTGAACTCTGACAATGCCACCTGCTTGTTTGGAAGGAGGAGAAAGAGAGGGGTGCATTTGTTATCTATGGTAGAAAGGCAAAAACGTGTGTTTATGGCTCTGCCTATTTTGCCTCTATTGGAATATTCATAGAATCATAGAGTTGGAAGAGACCACAAGGGCCATCGAGTCCAACCCCCTGCCAAGCAGGAAACACCATCAGAGCACTCCTGACATATGGTTGTCAAGCCTCTGCTTAAAGACCTCCAAAGAAGGAGACTCCACCACACTCCTTGGCAGCAAATTCCACTGTCGAACAGCTCTTTTGCACCCGGAAGGAACAGCTCTTTTGCACCCGGAAGGTTAGTCAGAAGGGAATGCAGCCCTGGGGTTGCAAAAGCTTCCCCATTCCCGGTCTGAGAAGTGAAGGTCAGGTCAGTCCGCGTCAGAATTCTCAGAAATCGAATTCCGCAGCATCCCATTTCCACATCTGCATCCTGGATTCCATTTGTTGGTCATGCTCTAGTGCAGGGGTCAGCAAACTTTTTCAGCAGGGGGCCGGTCCACTGTCCCTCAGACCTTGGGGGGGGCGGACTATATTTTTTTGGGGGGGATGAATAAATTCCTATGCCCCACAAATAACCCAGAGATGCATTTTAAATAAAAGGACACAGTCTACTCATATAAAAACATGCTGATTCCTGGACCGTCCACGGGCCGGATTTAGAAGGCGATTGGGCCGGATCCAGCCCCCGGGCCTTAGTTTGCCTTCCCATGCTCTAGTGCAAGGGAACCTCAGCAACCAGTTTTTATAGAGCCATGGATTTCCCCTGTCCCATGCACAATATTGTATGGATTGCCATGGCTCTCTGTGTGTGAAGCATTTCCTCTCATCACTCCATACCCTCCAAATGTCCCTATTTTCCAGGGATAGTTCCGGATTTACGGAAGCTGTCCCAGTTTCTGATTTGATCCTGGAATGTCCCACTTTTCCTTTGGACATCCCTGTTTTCATCAGAGAAATGTTGGAGGGTATAGAGTTAAGCATCCCCCGAGCCAAGGAGATAAGGAACTATACAACCTTAAGAAGACATCTGAAGGCAGTCCTGTATAGGGAAGTTTTTCCATGTTTAATGCTTTGTTATGTTTTTATATATGTTGGAAGCCCCCCAGTGGCTGGGGCAACCCAGTCAGATGAGTGGGGCATACATAAGGTAAACGTAAAGGAACCCCTGAACATTAGGTCCAGTCATGACCGACTCTGGGGTTGCGGCGCTCATCTCGCTTTATTGGCCAAGGGAGCCGGCGTACAGTTTCCGGGTAATGTGGCCAGCATGACTAAGCTGCTTCTGGCGAACCAGAGCAGCGCACGGAAACGCCATTTACTTTCCCGGCGGAGCGGTACCTATTTATCTACTTGCACTTTGACATGCTTTCGAACTGCTAGATTGGCAGGAGCAGGGACCGAGCAATGGGAGTTCACCCCGCCGCGGGGATTCGAACCGCCTACCTTCTGATGGGAAAGTCCTAGGCTCCGTGGTTTAACCCACAGCGCCACCGCCTGCTGTGTGGGCATACATAATAAAATTATTATTATTATTCTGGAAGAGGACGTCCCTATTTTCACCGGGGAAATGCTAGAGGGTATGTCACTCTGATACATGAAAACGCACCCCTCCTGCCGCCATGGCACCAGCCCTAACGTGGAATGGAAGGCAAGGCATTTCTTCTTTGGTACAGAGTACAGACGCTTCTCTCCTGAACTTTACTGCACGGCCAAAAAAACCCAGACACTGCTTTATACACGCACACAAACACGCTCCCCACCGCCGCCAAGGCTGGCGAGGGAAGAAGCTCCAAGCCGGCCCATAAAAATGCAGATTGGGACTCCGCAGATGAAATAGCACGCGGGTGTATAAATCGCTCTCCAGCAAGCCGCAAGATGGATCGGCCCCCATTGAAATTCCGCTGCAGTGATAATTAAAGCGTGCAGGTCCAGGCGCTGAATTATGGCCTTGCAGGGGCTTGCTGGTGCGGCGGATGGTGCACCTCGGCTCGGGGCCCAGCAAATTGCTCCCCGGGCCGACCGCGCCGTTTTATCGCCCACCTGGGCTTGCCTGCCTTGCGGAGGAGTTGGCTCCTTCCAGAGAGACACTAAAGCTGCCTGCTTGATTTACAAGCGCCCCTTCTTCCCCAAGCCGATTACAGGCAGGGTTTTGTCAGGACTGGCAGCAGGCAGAGGACAGAGGGGTGCAAAACACAGGCAACCGGAGAGACCCACTGATGTTCCTGATTTGCAAGCAGCATCAGGGGACCGGGGTAGGGAGGGCAGAGAGCCCTGGCATCACATTTTCGAGAGATCAGAAAGCCTTCATTGGGCGTCTTGCTCCCTCTTAACAGCAGAGAGGGCATACTCTCCAACATTCCTCCGATGAAAATAGGGGTGTCTAGGGCTCTCCTCCCCCCCCCCCAGTTCTGGCACCTCTCAGGTGGGCGCCCGTGCCATTATACAGTGGTACCTCGGGTTAAGTACTTAATTCGTTCCGGAGGCCTGTACTTAACCTGAAACTGTTCTTAACCTGAAGCACCACTTTAACTAATGGGGCCTCCCGCTGCTGCCGTGCCGCCGGAGCACAATTTCTGTTCTCATCCTGAAGCAAAGTTCTTAACCTGAAGCACTATTTCTGGGTTAGCGGAGTCTGTAACCTGAAGCATATGTAACCTGAAGCGTATGTAACCCGAGGCACCACTGTAATTGAAGAAGGGAGGCGTTCATGGCGAGCTCCGGCACCACTAGAATCTGTCAGGTTGGGACTGGGGAGACCCCTGTTCAAATCTCCGGTCGGCTACGAGGTTCGTGGGGTGGCTGGCAGTGGGCTGGTCTCGCTCAGTCTGGCCTCCCTTACAAGGCTGTTGGGAGGATAAAGGGGGTGAGGTGGAGAACCGTGTGTGGTGCCTTAAAGGAAACGCAGTATAGAAATACAGTGGTACCTCGGGTTGCGAACAGGATCCATTCCGGAGCCCCGTTCGCATCCTGAATGGAACATAAGACGCGACAGCGTGCCTGCGCATGCGCGGGTCGCGTTTTGCCACTTCCGAGCATGCACGTGATGTCATTTTGAGCGTCTGCGCATGCGCGAGCGGTGAAACCCGGAAGTAACGCGCTCCGTTACTTCCGGGTTGCCACGGAGCGCAACGCGAAAGTGCTCAACCTGAAGCACCATTCAACCCAAGGTATGACTGTACTGTAGATAGAAAGGTAGATGTCTCAGGTACGAATCCTGACGCAGAAAACAGGATTTAACTCTTGAGCCACGTCTCAAATTAAAGTACGACTAGGGGACATCCGCGATGATGCCACCGTGCCTGTATTAAAAGCATAGCTGTCTACTTTTCCCTTTTCTTGCGAGGAATCCTATTCGGAATAAGGGAATTTCCCTTAAAAAGGGGGAAACGTTGACAGCTATGATTAAAAGCCGCCCAAGTTTGCAGGTAGCATTACACTGCAGTAACAAATAGGGTACATCTGTCCTATAGCTGTCAACTTTTCCCTTTTCTTGCGAGGAATCCTATTCGGAATAAGGGAATTTCCCTTAAAAAAAGGGAAACATTGAGAGCTATGATTTGTCCCCCAGTCTCTCCATGCAAGCACCGCCCAAGGTGGCCGTCGGCCGGGCTTAAAATCCAGCAGCGTCCGGAACTCCGGCCAAGAGCGCCATATACACACAAACCCACTCCCGACAGCATCGCCCCCCAGTAAAGGGAGAAAGCAGCGAGAAAGCCTATGCAGTACCACCCCGGACCAGCAGATGGCGCGACGGGAGAAACACACCCCTTTTTAAAAAAACTCCGTTATTGGGCGCTCTAGCCGCCGCGCTCGTTCCACTACAACTCTTTTCCGGGCGCCGGGCGGATGTGGCGTCGTTCCGCCTTCCGCTGGCGCATGCGCGAAAGGGGGCCCTTCTCTCGCGGTCTTCCCCTGAGCAGCAGGTAGGGTCGCGGAGTCCCGGCCGGGGCGGCCTAGGAAGGTTCTCCCTTCGCCGGGTTCGCCCGGCCTCGGCCTCCCCCTTCCCGGGCCTTTCCCTTTCCCTCCCCCCCTCATGCTCCGAGGCCTTCGGAGGAGTTATAAGGGGGTTTGACCGGGACGTGCGCCCTATTGGCGGGGTTCGAGGGGGAGGAGCCTGCGGTGGGCGGAGCCACCCTTGGGAACGTTCTTGGGCGGGGCGTGGAGTTCAAGGAGCTTCCTTCCCACGGCAGCCTGGGGAGGGTCCGGGGCTGGTGCCGCCTATGGCCTGAGCGGATCTGCCCTGGCCGTGGATGCACTGCAAAGGTCGTGCATCCGAGGAAGCAGGCCCTCGACCGCCTAAAAGCTTAGCTGCAGGAGAGGTGCTGGTCCTCAAGGTGCTGGTTCTAAGGCTGCCGCCCCTATTGAGAGAATGGAAATAAATCTGATGCGCTGTACAGTGATACCTCGGGTTACATACGCTTCAGGTTACAGACTCCGCTAACCCAGAAATAGTGCTTCAGGTTAAGAACTTTGCTTCAGGATGAGAACAGAAATCGTGCTCTGGTGGCGCGGCAGCAGCTGGAGGCCCCATTAGCTAAAATGGTGCTTCAGGTTAAGAACAGTTTCAGGTTAAGAACGGACCTCCGGAACGAATTAAGTACTTAACCCGAGGTACCACTGTACAGACAGAAGGGTCGAAATTGTTAGCTAGCCAAAGTGGTGGTCGCTGATCCAAGTGTTGTGGGGCGGGCATTTAATGTAAATATACCATTTCCTGTGTCCATGGAGTTTTCTTGGCAGGGAGACCGGAGTGGCTTGCTGGTTCCCCCTCCAGGTGGATCACGTTTGGTCTAAACTCTCCACTATGACCTGTCCATCTTGGGTGGCTCTGCAGGGCATAGCTCATAGCTTCTCTGAGTTATTCAAGCCCCTTCGCCACGGCAAGGCAGTGATCCATGAAGGGGACACAGGAAATGACCCTGATGTTGGGAAAGATGGAGGGCACAAGGAGAAGGGGATGGCAGAGGACGAGATGGTGGGACAGTGTTCTCGAAGCTACCAGCATGAGTTTGACCAAACTGCGGGAGGCAGTGGAAGACAGGAGTGCCTGGCATGCTCTGGTCCAGGGGTCACGAAGAGTCGGACACGACTAAACAACAACATACCATTTCCTCCCTTCCCCCCCCCCAGCAAGTTTTTACAATGTTTTATTAATTTGTTGCATTTATATCCTGCCTTTATTCTTCAAAAAGCTCAAGGTGGTGGACGTAGCGCTCTCCCTCCTGATTTAATCCCCACAACAGCCCTGTGGAGTAGGATAGGCTGAGAGGCAGCGATTGGCTCAAAGTCACCCAGTAAGCGTCATGGCTGAGTGGGAATTTGAGCCCTGGTCTCCCAGGCCCTGGTCCAACACTCTTAACCACTACGTATCAAGTTGTAGAATTTGCTAACTAGGCAGCCGCAGCTATACATTTGGCTTAGTAAAAGGTAAAGGGACCCTTGACCATTAGGTCCAGTCGTGGCCGACTGGGGTTGCGGCACTCATCTCGCTTTATTGGCCGAGGGAGCCGGTGTACAGCTTCCAGGTCATGTGGCCAGCATGACTAAGCCGCTTCTGGTGAACCAGAGCAGTGCATGGAAACGCCGTTTACCTTCCAGTTGGAGCGGTACCTATTTATCTACTTGCACTCTGACGTGCTTTCAAACTGCTAGGTTGGCAGAAGCAGGGACCGAGCAACGGGAGCTCAGCCCGTTGCGGGGATTCGAACCGCTGACCTTCTGATCGGCAAGTCCTAGGCTCTGTGGTTTAACCCACAGCTATATGTTCTTGCTGCCAGATCTCTCTGCCTCTTCACAACACACACGTGTGTTCAAGTCCCCATGTGTACAGTGGCTTGGAGAAGATACTGAGAAACACTTTTTGGTCCTAATCTTTTGTTTCTCTGTTCAAATGGGGGGAAATCCTCCCCTGAGCTGTCTCTATGTACTAGATTGGAGGTGGTCAGAAGGTAAATCAGGATCTATGGGTAGATCCAGTTATTGGCAAAGGTTTCTGATTCCTTTTTTCAGTGGTGAACAGCCCAGCATTGCTACTGATGGTGACCAGTCAGACATCTATTGGAAGTTCATAAACCGGTTATGAAGATAACCATATTATTGGTTTGACCCCAGTTTTGTGTTGCTGGGAAGTATATTGTCCCTCCGCATAGGGATGGGGGACCTGTGGCCCTCTAAATGTTGGACTACAGCTCCCATAATTTCTGAGCATTGGCCATCCTGACATGGTCTTATGGAAGTTGGAGGGGTCCAACAACATTGGAGGGCCACAGGTTCCCCATGCGGACTCCTTTTAGCTATTCTAGCTAATATCTATTGATGCCTAATCCCTTTTCATGAAAAAAGAAAAAAACAAGATGCCTTGTTGAGTAGCTGTTTTAATGAATGGCACATGCTATTAATTGTACTGGTTCATAATAGTAGCTTGTGTATAGATGAGCAATTGAAACCACCTTAAGCTCAACAACCCATTACAGGTAATACTGTGGGAAGCAAATGTGCTTCCAGTTGTGTGGCCTTGCCCTCAGGTTGCATCCACCCTTGGAGCAGTCTGGGGGATAGCAACTTTAAGGAAGATGTCAGGCCTTGCATGGTACTGCACAGTGCAAATGCTGATCCTGAGGGTACAGATACTGAAAATCATGCCAGGATAGTCATCTGCAAGGCAAATTGCATGGATCAGTTGCTTACGTGCAGCTGATCTGATAGATGCAGCCCAGGTTTATCAGAGAACACCTGAACTATACTATTTGTGTGCTAGCTTTGATTAACAGGAACACAGAGAACCTTTTATGGCAATTTTTTTATAGTTCTGTCTTCAAGGGCCTCTAAATATTTTGGCATCTTCCAGAGGTGATATACAGCACACCTTGCTTAAGCAAATAATATTTATGCAAAGTTTATTCTAGTAGTATATTTTATTTCTTTTTTTAAGAATTGCACTGGTCCTATTTTATAAATATCACAATACTGTCTATTCTGAGCCCTTTGGGGACAGGATATGATATAAATGCAAAATAAAACACAGGCCTCTTAAGTGTGTTAAATGGGGAGTTTAGGGCACCAGGATCAAATCTAGAAGAGCCAGCACCAAAACTTTAGCATCTCTTTCCTTCCTAATTGGGGTGCCCCAAATGTTTGGTCAGCCAAACACTACTTTGTCCAGCCATGCTTGTGCTGAAGAACTAAATTATTGTGCTGTGTAGGGGCCTTATTACTCACGATATGTTTTTGCATAGTTGCCTGAATTAATGGCCTCTCTTCCACTTAATATGGCTGTGCATCGTTTTTTGTAGTCCTCCGCTAATTAACTGCCACACATCTTTAAAGCCTTGTGGGCTTCTATTGGTAGCAAGTAATAGAAATTGTAGGCACACTTTCTCCTAATGCCATGTTGTTTGGTTCTTTTCCAGCTGTTGAGTGTGGCCACCCCCAACGTCCCTGAATATGTATACCTGTGCAAAGTTCGTCTCTGCTCCCGCCCTTGTGAGTAACTTAAGATGTGTCTTGTATTTTTCAATAATGCATTGTTTCAAATCACAAGTCAAGTATTTGCCTATGTTGGCTAGTAGGTTAAAAAGGATTAATAACCTGCATAACTGTAACTTTGCCATCTTGTATGGAAAATAAGACAAATCTGTAATGCAGCAGCTTCCACAGGTTCTTTTAGTTTCTGTTGCCATTTTATCTTTCATTTGAAAAAGGAGGAGCATATTACTAGTTCTCATGATTGCAAAGAAAAACATCTGAAAACATAATGGCAGCTTTTGCCCTAGAACTATAAATCAAAGTGTGTTGGAGAAGCATTTAATGATGGATGGAGCTTGGCAGAGCTCTTAGTTCCTGTCCCTCTGTTCTTAAGACAGCTAGTTTCCCCTCCTTCCTTTTTCTAAAAACAAAACAAGGCATGAACACACATCAGCACTCATTTTTTAAGTTGCATGCTGGACCTTGCAATTCTAAAATGAAATCACGCCACTCCTTTCTGTTCTGGTCTGCCCCTGTCTCTCTCGCCCCCCGCTGCCCCCTGGCAGCCCAGGTCAGAATATGGCTTTCACTGCCATTGTCATGTCACATTCCCAGCACCACAATGTAGTAGAACTAGGGGGTCCTTCTCCCCCCCCCCCAGCAGACCACTGGAAGTTGCTACACATAACGAGAGGTGGGCAAAACTGAAAATAGCAATACCATGCAAACATCATTTTAGTTGTATGCCGCCTTTCCACAGTTAAAACCATTCTCAGGGTGGCTTACAACATGAAAAGATACATGATTCAAGCACAACAAATGTCAAACAATAAATAAAACATCCAAAACGTACACAACCAAATTGAACAACTTACACATGAATCCTAATAAAGATACAAACATGTAATATCAATAAGAGCAACCAACACACACCCCGAAATCCCTTAAGCAATACTCCAACCATTCCTTCTGTGATATTGGGATGCAGTGCTGTGTTCCATTCACTTTTCCCCAGCCCTGTCTGTGAGAGTTGCTATCAAGAGTGGAGTGGGATCAGGAGATTCTCCCCAGCCGCTTCTTACTTGCAGGAGTTCTTAAGCATCCTTTTATTTGGGGCTTGACCCAGGAAGTAACTGGTGGCTGGAGGTCATGCTACCTGAAAGGCCTTAATCTGCTCCCTTGGTTGGTGTCTGAATCATGGGGGCTGTTCCCGCATCACTTTACTGAAGATCTTACTTTGAGTCCCACGCAAATGGCAAATACAGAATGACCAGGTAGCATCACATCCCAGGTGTGAAATGGGTGGAGAAAGGGCAAGGTGCCTTCCTCTCATATTATTAACTGCAGCATTGGCAGGCAGAGGACAAAGTGCAAGCTATTGGGCCACACGACATAGTTTATTGTTCTATTTCATAAGATTTATATAATGCTTGATCGTAGAAAAAACCTCAGTGCTTTATAATTATATATTGCTTTGCATTACAAAAAATCGCAAAGCAATTTTCAAGCAGAGTAAAAATACAAACATGTTAAAAATATCGTTGGAGTACAAACATCCGGTCATTGGTGCTATCCAAATGCCTGGAAGCAACAAGGCAAAATGTCCTGTAGAAACCTCCCTTGAATCTGAGGTGTTTGCTAAAGAATATAACTTTCTGAGAATCTTACTTCAGGCAAACGTCAAGTGGTTTTCATGAAATCATTCAAGATGATGGCATTTCCTCCTCCGCACTGAAACCTCCTTCAAAAATGGGTGCCCAAGCAGGGAAATCTGATGTCTATTCCACCACCACATTGGCTTCCTCCAAATGACCATCAGGAAATTCCACCTGGTTAACACTTAGTAGGGACGTGGGTGGCGCTGTGGGTTAAACCACAGAGCCTAGGGCTTGCCGATCAGAAGGTTGGCGGTTTGAATCCCTGCAACGGGGTGAGCTCCCGTTGCTCGGTCCCTGCTCCTGCCAACCTAGCAGTTCGAAAGCATGTCAAAGTGCAAGTAGATAAATAGGTACCGCTCCGGCGGGAAGGTAAACGGCGTTTCTGTGCACTGCTCTGGTTCACCAGAAGCAGCTTAGTCATGTTGGCCACATGACCCGGAAGCTGTACGCCGGCTCCCTCGGCCAATAAAGCGAGATGAGCACCGCAACCCCAGAGTCGGCCACGACTGGACCTAATGGTCAGGGGTCCCCTTTACCTTTACCTTAACACTTGGTAGTGGGGGGGGGGGCAAATATGTCCCATCCCCAGGTGCTGTCTCTTCCACTCTACAGTGGGTCCCAAGTAGTTGAAAGGGCTGAGTTTCAGCCCAGCCTCTGCGTTCTGCTGGTTCCTGAAGCTGTAAGAGGCTTGATGTATAGAAATGGCCTCCAGGAGCTTCGCTTTCATTTACAAATAGAACAGAATTCTAGCATTAATTGCTGATGTGCATTTCAGCAAAGTGTTCAGTGCTGGGGAAAACCAGTAGGGGCTCAGAAGGATTTCTGGTGGCCAAGGTTTTAGTGCAGGGATAAGGAACGCTTTTCAGCCTAAGGGCCACTGGGCAACCTTTTGAAGGCCGCATGCTCATGGTAGGCATGGTCAGAGGTAAAAGGGAGCAGGGGAACAATTTGTACAGTAGGCTAGTTTCTACACACACACACATACACCCCTCTGTTCTCCACCTGTGCGAGGATGATCAGTGGTCAAGGAACACATTTCAACTAGGCAAAAACACTCAAGGGTGTGAAGCAGGGCTGGTAAAGGGGAGTGGCCTTAGGGAGAGTGCCAAGGGCCAGACAGAGAGGCTTGGAGGGCCACATTTAGATCTTGGGACTGATGTTCCCCACTGTCTTGCATATGCTGCTGCCCTTCTCATGTCTAGCCAAAACAGAACAAATTAAGGCAATCTGAGAAAACTTACTTAGTATATGTAAAAGTTATCCAGCTTGCCAGGCTCAAGACTTGTAACTTTTTTGCAGAATATGCACTGCATTGATGATGCATGGGAACGGAACAGGGTACCTGCCATGTAGAATAATAATAATAATAATAATAAAAATTATTTATATCCCGCCCTCCCCAGCCGAAGCCGGGCGGCTAACAACACTAAAATAGTGCAACATTATAAAAACATTATAAAACAACATGCTTTACATGGTGGAGGGCAAGGTAGAACTGGGGTGGGAGTCACATGTGGCTAATAGACCACCAGTTGACTACGGTTTAGACTAGTGCCTTTTCTGCAGTGGCTCCTCATTTGTGGGATGCTGGGCCCGCCTTCATTATACTCCTTTAGGCTGATTAACATCCGATAGCCTTTTAAATGTGTGAGGGCGGAGGGTGTTTTAGTTCTTATTTTTATTACGAATTTTGTGTTTTTTATCTTGTATTTTTATGTTATGAACCGCCCTGAGTTCTACGGGTGAAGGATGGTGTACAAAATAAATAAATAATCAGTCAGTCACACGATCAGTTCTCTGCTGCCACTGGCCACCTGATTTTGTTCTGAAATTTAAATCCATGAGATACAAGCCCCATTTCAGAATATGTTCTTTACCGGGGAGAATTGTTGCTGTGCTGACCAACGAAGGCATGCTCAGGTCATGGTTTCACTATCATTTCTTCTAGTTACAGGCTGTCTCAGACTAGAATGCGTTTGCAAGAAAGTCCTTGTTGTCAGGGAGAATTTTTCTTCGTTGCATGCATTCTCAGCTTGTTTATTTCCCCTCTTGCAGATAAAGAACAGTTCCCGGCTGCTCTGTAGGCCCATCTCTGCCTCTGTGCTGAACAGGCCTGAGGTCAGGACGAAGGAGGTAAATCTGGTGTGGTACGGCTTCCAGCTACATCCAAGGGGAAAGAGACCCTTGGATCTCAAAAACATAATGCTGATGTAACCAGCAAAGGTTGTCTAGGGCAATACTCAGTGGCCGAGTAGAAAAAGGAAATAAGAAGGAGATCCTTTCTAGAACTGCTGGCTCTGCTGGGCCTTTTGGATTATGTGTGCAGCAGCAGTGCTCAACTATATACCTGACCTACAATTTATTATTTTAGATCTCAGTCACTAGGAGGCATGATGCTACAGGGCTGGTTTTTTTCTTGGATAATTTTATTGTTTATTTAACATAATTGTTATAAAATATAAGCAAAATGTTACGAATACAGATATATATATATTTCAAATAAGCACGTACAGTGGTACCTCGGGTTACGTACTTAATTCGTTCCGGAGGTCCGTTCTTAACCTGAAACTGTTCTCAACCTGAACCACCACTTTAGCTAATGGGGCCTCCTGCTGCCGCCGCCGCGCAGCCAGAGTACGATTTCTGTTCTCATCCTTTAGCAAAGTTCTTAACCTGAAGCACTATTTCTGGGTTAGCAGAGTCTGTAACCTGAAGCGTATGTAACCCGAGGTACCACTGTATATATATGAAAAAAGGAACAAAAGAGAGAAAAAGCTGTTTTTTTCTTAAGCTGTACAATTAAAGTGTCTGCCTGGTAACTAAGGAACACTTTTTGATACTCTAGTATTTATCATTCTTCTAGACCACCTTTCCTATGGGGAGTGCAGGGTGGTTTGTGTTGGGCTATCCCATGGTATCCTCACAACCATAAGTGTAACTTAAACCAAGCTCTTGGGGTTGTAGGGAGAAAGTGAACAGATGACCAGTTTACAAAATTTCTAAGTTGGTGGGGATCTGCCTCACCTCTTTCTAGCTTCAAGGAACACTTTCCAGATCAACTCCTCATTTATTTATTCCATTTTTATCCTGCTTTGTCCGCTCTCACCCATTACTCCTCCTAAGGTAGAGTCGGCTAAGAGATGATGGCTGGCCCAAGCTGACCCACTAAGCTTTATAGCTGAGCAGGGATTTAAACCCACGTCTCTCTGATCCTAGTCTGACAAGCTAACCACTACATGACATTGGCTTTTTATTTACTTACTTTATTATTATTTAACAGAATTTGTATACCGTTAAATTGCAAATTTACAAAGAATATAAAATATATATTAAAGTTGTCAGTAAAAGTTAAAAACATTTAAAGCCCCCCCCCACACACACACCAAAGAATAGATAAAACCCAACATTATAAACTTAAATTGCAGATTTGAGGAGCCTCTCATGCAGGGTGCTGAACTTCAGTATTTCTCTGCATGAACTGTGGGGACTCCATAGCACACACAAGTCCCCTGTAGCTGTAGAGAAGATTTAATTGACAACAACGAGGCACCACTTTCCTAGAAGCAGCAGTGCAGATGTGGCTGCATTGCTGACCTGGATTCCCAAAACTATAGGCTGCTCCTTCCTTGGAGTAAGCTACTTTTAACTCAGTAGGACTTGTGCTACTGAGACAAGTATTGCACCATAAGCAGCCCCCGTCCCTGGCTTGTTGGCCAGTATTTATCCAATTCAGAATCTCCACTCCCAGTTTTCTGGGGCAGTGTTTGAAAAAATCAGGGTTAAAATTGAAGTTTGATTTACATGGAAGTAGAATCCTGCCATTTAGTTTACAAGCAGCTTCAAAGCAGTATCTTATTCTCCATTTCTTCTTCTTTTTGCTCCTTAGCCTTGTCGTCTCTCAGGTGCTCACAATGAGCTCTTGCCAGTGTTGCGCCGGGAGTTCCAAACCAGCACTGTTTCCAGGGACATTGATACTGCCGCCAAGTTTATTGGTGCTGGCGCTGCCACCGTAGGTGTAGCTGGCTCTGGTGCTGGCATCGGGACCGTATTTGGCAGTCTTATCATTGGCTATGCCAGGTATGTTTGGATTTTTGAGCACCACGTTTTTAAGTCTGGAGTTATGGTCTTCATTCACTTGCTGCTTACAGAGAAGCCAGGCAGTGCTGCTGCCAACTGCTTGCACTCATTATTGTTGTCTTCCTGTTTCTTCAGACCTGATTTGGGCCTCTTATGTAAAACATGTTCGCAGTGCATTATAAACTGGCAAAGTTCTGTTGAGATTTTTCAGGGTTGCTGTGCCTTTAGTTAGAAGCTTCCTCCTTGTAGGTTCTGCTTCTGATTGCTTTCCTGTTGCTGTGGCATTATTGATAAATTGGCTTGTGATTATTCAGTCCCTTTTGTAGGGACTAGTAATAGGGGGAGTAGTACTTCCTCTTCATTGTTTTCATTTTCCCTAAAAATGCAAAATAGTCCTGTTTCACAAAGAAAAAAGAGAGGAATCCAGTAATTAAGCCCACTGCAGGGAACTGATTTACAGGACTATTTATCAGTAATGCCATGTATGTTCTGAAAAGGAAACACTAATAGGCAAAAGCCACAAGGGGAAGCTATTAATTGAGAATGGCGGGGCCCTGTGCTGAATGGAAATTTAATTCAATTGTATTAAGTAAATACAACTGAAGGATCTTGGCTTTTGGGGTGGGTATTGCCAGATTAATACAGCACTATATTACAAGCTGTACTGAATCACTGTTAATTCCATTTCCAGCTGAATCCAGAAGAACAATGCCTTCACAGTGCTAAAGGGCACTAGTGTGGCAGCAACCCTAGTAAACATTTTGTGGGCTAGTTAAATTTGTAGACTTAATCAGTGCTTTTTTCCTAGAAAAATAGGTGTCAGTACTCACCATGAAGTTATTGTAGTAAATGCCACACTTTTAAATAATACTGAAAGAAGTGTCGGTACCATGTGCCCTTGAATACCCCCTGGAAAAAAGCACCAGACTTAAAATTATAAAGCTGGCTGGGCTGATACTATACTGCAGGCATAGGCAAACTCGGCCCTCCAGACGTTTTTGGGACTACAACTCCCATCATCCCTGACCAGTGGTCCCGTTAGCTAGGGATGATGGGAGTTGTAGTCCCGAAACATCTGGAGGGCCAAGTTTGCCTATGCCTGCTATACTGCTAGACCTTTCAACAACCACACACCTGAACAGTACTTGGCTGGAAGGGATGGCTACTCCCTTGACACCCTGTATCTGGGGAGATGGTAGTACTACAGGAGAACCTTAAATTGTAGCATTGGAAGGGATCCTAAGGGTAATCTAGTCCAACCCCTGCAATGCAGAAATCGCAACTAGATCATATATAAGAATCCATTGGTTCAGGTCCTAGCCTCTGGAATAGGAGAAAACAAGCTTGTTCCATCCTCCATGTGATAGCCCTTTAGATATTTGAGGATGGCTATCATATCTCATCTCAGTCTCCTCTTTACCAGGCTAAATGTACCCAACTCCCTCAACTGTTCCTCACAAGGCTTGGTTTCCAGACCCTTGATCATCTTGGTCTCCCTCCTCTGCACACATTCCAGCTTGTCAATATCCTTCTTAAAACTGCAGTGCCCAGAAATGGACACGGTACTCTAGGTGTGTCCTGGCCAAGACAGAATAGAGCAGACCTGTTACTTCCCTTGATCAGGACACTGTACTTTTGTTGATGCAAGCTAGGATGACATTAGCTTTTTTTGTGTGGCTTCATCACTTTTCCATTGATGGTTATCCTGTCTGTCTGTCTCCTTCCCTTGCAGAAACCCTTCCCTGAAGCAGCAGCTCTTCTCCTATGCCATCCTGGGTTTTGCACTCTCTGAGGCCATGGGGCTGTTCTGCTTGATGGTGGCGTTCCTCATTCTCTTTGCAATGTGAAGGAGCCAGATGTGCTGCCTGTCATGTGCTCTCCTCTCTTTCCCCCCTGTGTTTAGTCCAGTGTGTACGACAACCTGATTGTTCTGTGGCAGATAGGGGAAGCCCGTCTGTTAACCAAATCTGTCCAGCTCAGAGGGGGCAAGTCAATAAATACTGTATTGGTATACATTTTCTTGATTTTTTTGTTTTTGTTTTATGGGTAACTGGCCCCCAGTCCTTTCTGCATCATTAGTCAGTGAATCGCACAGTATCATGGAATGCATTTAACTTGTATTCAGCACATCCAATTGATTCCTGAAAAACCAAAGTCCTACCATAAATCTGACGTCGGTGAGGTTTTCTTTCTGCTATTTTCTAAGTAGAATGGTTTACCTAACAGTATCTCAGTGAATTTAATCAGGCTTCCTCTTGGTAAGTGTGGATAGAAATGCAGCCCTGGAATACCTATTACTGCTTCTGATGATGCTGAATGGAGGTCATTATCTCAGCAAATTACAAAGAGTTTTGCATAAATACAGCTTATGTTGTTCAGCTTTTGGTGAGCTTTTTGGCTCCTTGTGTTTTAGTAAATTAAAACATGACCTAGAATCAACCTTTGAATCTTTTCTCTCCCTTTTAAAAGCACTGTTCTGCTAAGGTCATGGAGCACATCCTTTATATTGATTTGCTCCCTAGTAATTTAAGGCAACACTGTGCTTATGTTGCTTCTGTGCTTGTAACTTATCCTAGCCAATGCTGTTTTTAAAACACAAGGAAACTGAAGCCCAGAAAGGCGAAAGCAGGGATGGGGACCTCTGGCCCTCTAGATGTTGTTGGACTCAAACGCCTTTCAGATCCAGCCAGCATGGCCTGGAAGCAAGTATGGTGGGGCCTGCAATCCAGCAACAATGGGAGGGGACAGGTTCCCCATTTACTAAAGAATAATAAGAATAATTTAATATTTATATGCCGCCCATCTGACTTGAGTTGCCCCAGCCACTCTGGACGGCTCTCAACAAAATGTTAAACATCAACCATTAAAAGGGCTGCCTTCGGATGTCTTCTAAAAGTCGTATCGTTATTTGTTTGACATCTGATGGGAGGGCATTCCACAGGGCAGGCGCCACTTCCGAGAAGGCCCTCTACCTGGTTCCCTGTAACTTCACTTCTCATAGTGGGGGAACTGCCAGAAAGAGCTGGGCCTCAGTGTCTGGGCTGGATGATGGGGGTGGAGATGCTCCTTCAGGTATACAGGGCCAAGGCAGTTTAGGGCTTTAAAGGTCAACACCAACATTTGAATTGTGCTTGGAAACATACTGGGAGCCAATGTAGAACCTAAGGAAGGCACAGACAGGCTTCCACTCCACCGTATTACAATGTGGTGAACCTTTGTGCATTCTCATCTTCATAAATGGTGCTTATCTCCCATTGTGTCTCTGGGAGTCTGCAGTGTGGCCCTTCTGTACAGTATCAGCTCAGCAGAACTGTTTTCGAGAAAGTGAACATTTGAATTGTGTTGGGGGCTCAGGCCAAGGTTCAGCGGCTCCTACAGAGGCTTCTTGGAAGCTCACAGGCAGTTTCTTTTTCAACATGAAGTTTCTATTCAGCTCTCAATCTGTTGGTCACTCCTCTTAAAACAAGTTGAATAAAATCTGCAACCTCAAAAAAAAAAAAAAAACAGCATAAAACCTAGCTACATAAAACCAACACAATATTCTATTTTACAAATTCAGATCTAATACAATTACAGAGTTACCGTATTTTTCGCTCTATAAGACGCACCAGACCACAAGACGCACCTAGTTTTTGGAGGAAAACAAGAAAAAACTATTCTGAATCTCAGAAGCCAGTACAGCAAGAGGGATCGCTGCACAGTGAAAGCAGCAATCCCTCTTGCTGTTCTGGCTTCTGGGATAGCTGCGCAGCCGGCATTCGCTCCATAAGACGCACACACATTTCCCCTTACTTTTTAGAAGGGAAAAAGTGAGTCTTATAGAGCAAAAAATACGGTAATTCCTTTTTTAAAGGCCATATAAGCTGGTGTCCACCGCCACCTTTTCGGTAGTGAGTTTCTTAATACACATTATGTAAAAAGCGCTTCCTTCCATTGGCTGTGAATCTGCTGACAATCAACTTTCATATGCCCAAGTTTTAAAGATTTATAAGAAAGCAAGAATTTCCCCTGTTCAAACCGTTCATAATGTAGAAAACTCCTCTCTCTTCCTTCCTCCCTGCAGAAAGCTTTTCTTTCCTGTACTAAAAAGCCCTAAATGCCTTCTTTCCCCAACCCATTGATCATTTTTAGTTGCCCTTTTCTGCACATTTTCCAGTTCTATGATTAGCAAGGGCTGCATTCTAAAATCATCCCATCTGACACGCATGACCCAAATATGCCTGCGCTGGGTGAGCAAATGGCTGGAAACTATTTTAGAAGTTCTAAGGAGCCTGACCTGTATCAGTCAGAGCTGCTGCTTGTTGAAAGACCCACAGCTGGTCCTGGCAATCTGCTGTTGGGGTTGCTAGGCAACCAGCTGAGCTTGGGTGTTCATTACAGTTGTGCCTGTGTTTTGGAAACCTGCTGATGATGCCAGGCTAACCCAGTGATAAAAAGTAGCTAAGTGAGCGGTGTTAAATGATCAAGGGAATGCTAACAAGTCTGTATATTTGAATCATGCAAACATCACGTCTTGGGCTGCAGAGGAGGCATAGTTTATGCCAACAAATCACTTAAAGGGTAATACTTCTACCATAAATCAATATCCTGAATTCAAAGGAGGAGAAACAGAACTGGAGGCTGTTGTGGATGCTAAGAAATTCATTCCAGCAGTTTGCCAGATGAAACAATCCCCCCACCCCATTCTGGCAATTTTCCTGACAGACACACTTGGGCCAATTTTGGGGGGCATGAGGAAGGGGGTGGAAACCCCGTTACAGTAGCAGGAGCCAGTAGCAGGACTCTCGAGTTGATTTCTGCCCCCTGCTCCTAACCTATCATTGCAGAGCAATTACTTCTGAGATGTAGCACAGCGGTGGGGAATCTGTGGCCCTCCAGATGTTAGACACCCCGCTTCTGCCACCCCTGACCATCGGCCATGCTGGCTACAGCTGATGGGAGGTGGGATCTAACAACATGTGGGAGGCCACAGGTCCCCAGCACTGCTAGACGCTGTAAACAATAGTCATGGGTGTGCCATACTCCGTTTCATAAGCCCAGCATTGAAGTAGCTATGTTACGTTTAACTCACTTGGATTCCCCCGCCCACTTCAGTAAAGAAAGTGCCGTGGTGTTGAAGACTGTGTAAATAAACTGAGAGTAATGTAAGCAGTTCTGCTGCCCAGACTCGTGGAGCTGTGCTAAGGCTCTAGAGAAAAGTTTTGGTGGTGGGAGGGTATGTTTGCGATGCAGTCTCCCTAGATCTTCGTTTTCAGGGCCAGTACAAGTAAGGAGGTAGCCAATAATTTTGAAGACAGGAATGTACCTTACAAGCTCCTAGAACTGAGTTTTCCATAGACTTGTGTCTTTTTTTAGGAGGGAGAGCTGGGAACAAAGAAAGGTTCCCTCTTTGCTTGGCCAAAGCTGCAAGCTGGCCCACTTTCAAGCACAAGCCAGTAAAGAGAATTTGGGCACAGATCCATGGTGGTCTCTCTCCAACCAGCACAGAAAAAGCAAATGCCTCAAGTTAAGCCCTTGCTTAGATCTTCAGCTAGATCGTAATATTCCTGCTCTGCCAGATTAAGAACTTCATAAGGGGTGGCACTGAAGATTGGAATAGGTTTCTGCTATGAGATTTCTTGTTCTGATGCCATGGTATATATCTAAATTTTGCCATCAGCACTAAACTGTTTAAAGGGAGTTTTAAGAAGTTACTGCCTACAACATGGGTTGCCAATTTTAAAGTTGCTATTAGTTAAGAACTGGAGGTGGGACTTGTCACTCACTTTTAACACCTTTTTGGGTTAGGCCCTGCCCACTTTTGGCACATGTGCCAAGGGCAGAAAGGTGTTCCTCACCTCTGTCTTAAAATAGCTTTTCAAAAGGAATATGGACATTCTAGCCTGATTCAGATATACTAAATGTATATGTAAAGTTGGCTTCTTTAAACAAACCATAGATTATAGAAGAATTACAGTTTGCTGTTGGGATGGCACACTAAACCATAGCTAATCAAAATCAGAAGTGAAAGCTTCTGAACGGCTTTAAGGCAGATACCACAATAGATAAGATAACTATGCAGTCTCCTTTGCCTTTAACAGCGGCCCATCACACAAAAACAAAATTCCATGCTGCATTGTTCAGCCATGTCCTATTAGCCCTATGATCTGCCTACACTGATGACAAACTATAGTTCTTGCCTGTGTGTTTTTTTCCCTGGCAGAGCTCCTGTGCCATTAATAGCTGTGTGACAGGCAATTTCAACAGGTGCATCTCTGACCTGCAAAAGGTTGCCACACAGCCTGTTAAAGGAACAAGCATTTCCAGAAAAGAGGGATTTACTCTAATGAAAACAGTACTTTAGTTTCTGCTGGGGTTTTTTCAATCAATGCCCTTCTTCCCTTGCATCAGTGGCTATTGCAGCTGTAGAATGGAGTGTTTAGTTCTGCAAGATGGGTACAAGTAACAAGACTCATTTTTGGATTCTGAGCCAGGTTGGGAAAGCTGTAACCCTCCACATGTTGTTAGACTCCAGTTCCCATCAGCCCTAGCCAGCATGACCAATAGCCAGGGATGATGGGAGCTACAGTCCACCAATATTTGGAGGGCTGCAGGCTCCCCAGTGCCATTGCTAGAGATAGAGGTTGGAGATGTGAAAGAAAGTGAAGGAAGAAGCTTTTGCCACCTCTAGCTGCCATCTGTGCTTTTGCGGGAAATTGTGTTTTGTTCTTTGAGGACTCTCTTTCTACAAGGATGACATCTAATCCTGGCAAGCAAAAGTGGATCTGTTCCATTTTTAAGCAAGAGGACCAGGCCCATTTTCAGGTCCATTCTGCCCCCTCCCCTCATTTTTTAATCAATTTCTCTCAAGCTGGCTAGACTCGGAGGTATTTGACAGCTCATTCGCCAGCATGCAGGGAGTGTTACCATGGTTTAAATTGCAGTAAGGGTCATAAATTTAATTAATGGAAATTGCATCAAATAGTATCTTGCTCACTTACATATCATTTGGTTAATCTCAAGTATATTACTTCCAATGACACATTATTGTTAACAAGGCTGTTAATGCGCTCTCTTTTAGATCGAGTGCTTGGTTAACTGGAACCTCTCATGCCTTTCTCCCTTTGTTGCCACTAAGTCTTTTCAGCACTTGAAGAGAGCTTTAGGCTCAAGGTTTGAGGGTGGCACTATCTGGCAAGGATAGAGGGATGGGTGCTAATTTGAGTAGGAAAGTTTCTTGCCAGCCTCTTGAGATGGGCCATAGCTTGTTTGCAGAAAAGCGAATAGAGAGCTTGGATGACTAAGGTGACAGTTACAACATGAGTGAAACAGAATTAATAAATCAGCTACAATCACAATGATTTCAACTTGTATTTTCATTTTCATTTCCCCCTCTTAACACCCACAACTCCCTGACCAAGTGTGCCTCTGCTTGTCAGCTATCTACAGCACCCACCTACTCCTGCCCTGCGTGAAAATTTTCCCCATGCCCTCCCTTCTCAGTGTTCCATCGTTTCCTGGACACCTCTACCACAATTTCCCTTTAATCTCTCCTTTTTGGAAAGTTCATTTTACTGAATTTCAATATGAATTTAACAGAAGAGTAAGAATAGCACCCCCTTTCCCGAAGAGGGCAAGTGAACGTCATCAATTACATACATTACACCATAACTGAGCCCTTCTCTCTTCACCATCTATACTTCTAGTCCATGCCATTTTTTCTCTGGCCTCCCTTTCAACTTGCCTAAGATCCATGTATCCAGCGACATGCCTTCCTGTGTCTTTTACACCCAGCTCCTACTCTCCCCAAGCTCAGTTAATAGCTGCTTTCTATCAAAACTAACCTTTGCTAAGAGAAGCTGCACTGCCCATCAGCTCTGCTAGTTTGCGGGGTACAACATTATTTGAATCCTTTTTGTCATATATTTGCTGTATTTAAATCCCACCTTTTAAAGGTAAAAGTCCTCAGTGGGCTGGGACAGACACAAGGTTCTCTAATCCCAGCGACATTACAATCTTGAGGTTTCTCCAAGATTAAAGGATTTCTGCCTAAATCTTTTTTGTACTTCTGCAAACTTCAAAGTTACCCCTAGTCTGCTGATACTTTCTTCCTGTATGCAGTTGTTTGCCATTTTTTTGATGTTTGCAAACATCACCAAGAGTGTTTAATTGGAATCAGAATACAGAATGTGTTACTCTGAAGACTGTGATCCTAAGCACTCATATTAAAAACTAACCTCAACTGAAATGGATGAGAATTACTAGGAAGGTTTTTGGTGAGCAAACAGTAAGATCCCCTTTTTTTTTGCATTCTTATCTCTTTACCTCAGTTAACTCTTCCTTTGCCACTTCTCCATTCTGAAGTTCCTCTTCCTTGGCTCACATTTTAGAGATTTCCATCTCCTCTATCACAACCACCAGAAGGAGAAATCGTTTGGTTGAGCAAGAATTTTGAATATGGTAGAGTGAATGTCAGCAGTGATGCAGGCAGCCTGAATTGTACTAGCAGCCAGCCACAGCAGCGCTGACAGTTCCTAGCCCCCGCCCCCCCCCCCGCGCCCAAACTTATTCCACTGTTGAGCATTCTAGAACAAATCATTGGCCACAAGTTGGATCTTAAAATTGGAGAAGCATCAACTCAGTTGGAAGCTGGGGCAGAAGAGGTAACAGAGTAGAAGAGAGAAAGCACTAAATTTTATTTTTCACCTCCCATTTTTATTATATTACTTGCATTTATTAAGTCCCAGTGATTATCTGTGCTATGTACAAACCTCAAAAGAAAGTGTGTCCCAAAGGGATGAAAATTTTCTGTTTCATACATGCACATACCTCCTTTTACTTCTCTATACTGGATGACAGGTACTTGAAAGCTTTTTGTTTGGACCATCCAATAATTGCTTCAACTTGCAATCATCGAGTGAGACATTCATGGGTAAACCAGTCTAGCTTAAACAAAGGGATGACAGAGGAAACTGGATAGTAAAATAATACAAAAAATGTAGATGCTTGAGAAAATAACACTCTTAGATGTGTTATTTCTCTTTCACCCCGAACAGTGACTCTGTTAGGAGGTGTAACAATAAATTTATATCACCATTACTCTGAGTAGGTACTTGGGTTCTGTATCTCCATGACCAATGAAGCAGTAGCAGGACAAGTTTATTGCTTAAGCCAGAGGGCATAGCAAATTGCACAATAATTAACAAGAAGTAAGCCAGTATGAATCATGCCAGTCATTTCAATCTAGCACAAAACAAGCCATGACTCTCCAATAACTCACTTAACATGAAAAATTAAACATCAGTATAAAGCATTTAAAGCACTGCCAGCCAGCCAATCTCACAAATAAGAGCCCAGTTCCTACTATGTAAACGTGAAGCAAAATTCCACCTGACTGTTAAAACGAATAAGGCATTGTTTTGGTAATCTATGGTTAAATTACCATTACTTGTCATTTAAGCCAATCTTCTAATATCTCATGTATCTGAAATAAGGCACAATCTACCTGTCTGTACCTTCTCTTTCTGAACCACTTTGCTCTGTTGATTTAAAGGCTCACTCTTAGCCTGGTTCACATGTGGGAGAGGGACAATGTCTGCAAACTGGCATGAAGAAATGTGCAAAACAGTGAAAAGCAGGCATTCTTTTGTGCCTCTAAATGGCAACTCTCCCAATGAAAATCAAATCTCATTTAAACTTGGTGCAGTGCTGTAAGACACTCTGAGGAATCTGGAACCTTTTACTTATTGTAAATTTTGATGTACAGGCACTTTTCAAGACAACCCCTATGGTCATTATTCTCTGAAAACTAAAGAAAAAAAATGAATTTTTTATCCATGCAGGCATGTCTTAAAAACAAGCCACCCCCCCCCCCCAACCTCCTTTGCTTAGCATCCAACTTAAGAGTTCTGGTGAACTCCTAGGGGGAGCAGGATAATATTCTCAGAGGTTTGGGACAAATGAAAACACTGTGCTTGTTGTGGAAGAATCCACACAGGTTAGGCCATGGATCCATGCTTGCCTCTATCAGCCGGCTGGCATCTTGCTAACATGGGTTACAGTGAGCTGGGTGGGGACTGAGGTTAGGGCACAGATGAGGCAGCAGAAACGTCTCCAAACTACTAGGATGGGAAGGAAGTTGGAGCTGACGCAGAGTTTTCTAGAATATTGCTGCCAAACAGGCAGAGGCAGATGGCAAATGCTACACTAATTTGGCTATGTCAGGAGTCGAGGAGAGCCCTGCTTGACCCCTGATGGAAATAAACAAAGGTCCGACTATGATAGACAGAGGCTTCACCTTTATGAGAGATTTTTACCCCATCTAGCTTTCTTCCTGTTGAATCAGCACCGTCAAAACCCCAAAGGGTTCTCAAGACAGCGGTACAATTTGGCTCATTCCAACCTCTGGAAGCAACAGTGTTATCGGGTATCCCCTTACCTACTCCTTTAGATGGCAGTAAGTGCCAACCTAGCAGTTTGAAAGCACGTCAAAGTGCAAGTAGATAAATAGGTACCACTCCGGCAGGAAGGTAAACGGCGTTTCCATGCGCTGCTCTGGTTCACCAGAAGCGGCTTAGTCATGCTGGCCACATGACCAATAAAGCGAGATGAGCACTGCAACCCCAGAGTCGTTCATGATTGGACCTAACGGTCAGGGGTCCCTTTACTTTACCTAAATGCCTTCCCACTTCCTTCAATATGTGGTAGGCCAGAAGCCCTACTGCATTTGTTTCGGTGCCCTTCCACGCATGATTCTGCTGGGTGGGGACCCTGGACTTCTGCGCCAAAGCAATTTCCCTGAGGGCACCAAAGTGAGGTTTCCGGGGTGTGACCCGCACAGTGGAGCAGCACAAGGCTCTTTTGAGCTGTGCTGTGTCGGAGACTCCAGATGCACATGGGTTGAGCGGGGGGGGGGGGGTGGCACATTCGTATACAGTGGCACCTCCTCCGGTTACATACGCTTCAGATTACAGACTCTGCTAACCCAGAAATAGTACCTCGGGTTAAGAACTTTGCTTCAGGATGAGAACAGAAATCATGCTCCGGCGGCGGTGGGAGGCCCCATTAGTTAAAATGGTGCTTCAGGTTAAGAACAGTTTCAGGTTAAGAACGGACCTCCGGAACGAATTAAGTACTTAACCCGAGGTACCACTGTACTGGAAACCCAGGACCGGCCCAGCCATGAGGTAAGGGGAGGTGACAGCCTGAGGTGGCAGGATCCACAGGGGCAGCAGAAGAACCTGAGTCAGATCTTTATCTTCTCCCTGCCCTTGTTCCTGATGTAGACCTTCACACAGCCCTTCTTCCCCGGTGGGGCGGGAGGGGGCGCCATTTTGCGGTTCGCCTCAGGTGCCAAAATGTCATGGGTCGGCCCTATGGAAACCTGCCCGAATCACACCAAGACCTAACTCGGCCACACACGACGTCAACGACGTACTCCTGGGCAAGGAGGTCGCCCACTGCCTGCCTCTAACCCCGTCGGGGTCTGTGCCGCTTCTTCCCGCCCCGCTCCCTTGGGAACCCGTCGCCCTCGGGCGGCGGCTGCTCTCCATTCTCCCCCCTCAGGACACCCGGACACCGTCCGCTCCGTCGTCTCTTCGAAGTCTCGGCCCCGCCCCGCTCCTTGCACAAACCCCGCCCCTCCCTCCCCCATTGGCTCCCCGGCTCCTCGCCCCCGCCTCTCCGCCAAGTCTCGCGAGGATCTCGAGCGCGCAGAAAACGAGGAGGCGGGGGGGCCCCCACACTTCACCACAGCAAGACTTGGGGGCCGCAGCTCGGGGCTGTGTGGGGAAGAGCCCCGTTAGTGGCGGCGCCAGGCGGAGGGACACGGGACCTTAAAGCGGAGGGAGGGGACAAAAACTCCCGGTCCTCTCAATTCCACCCCCTCCCTCCCTTCCTTCTCCGGTCCCGAGGTGAGTTTGGCCGTTGCCTCCGCTCCTCTCACCCCGCACCTCCCCCTTCTCCTCCCCTCAAGAAAAACCCAACTCTTTCCAAGGCTTGAGAGAGGGTGGGTTCCGCCTTGTCGTGATTGGCAGCTCGGCCGCGCCAATCGGCGCCGCTCTCGGAGGCGAGTGGCGGGCGGCGCGGCCAGTGCGGCCGCGGGGTTGGACCGAGACCCCTCCCCGTCTCCCGGGGGTGGGAGGGACTTAAGGGGCTGCGAGGAAGCTCTAAGAAGGGGGCCCGGGCGGTGGCCGGGAGGGGGAGGGGGCGCCCAGAAGCCCCGGTGACGGGCGGGCTGGGGTGCGTGTGGAGAACCTGGGCTCGAAATGGTCCAAGGGTCCTGAGTAGAGTTTTTGGTGCCTGCACGAGAGGAGTGAGGATTTTTTAAAAAAATGCCAAGGGAGGAGGAGGCTGCTGGGTGGGGAATTCCAGGGGATAAGGGCAATAGGAAGGGAGAACTAGGCGGTTGTGGCCTTTGCAGAAGTGGGTGAGAACACATAAGCGAAGCGATGCCCCAGCAAGAAAAAATCTGAGTAACTCGTGGAAGCTGTTACATAAGTATATGCTCCCAGCCACTCGGTAAAGGTGGTGTGGCTTCCTCAAGATTGCTTTCCGATTTGGAGAGCGCTTGGCAACCTCTGCTGCTCATCCTTGCACCCTCTTTTCTGCTCCTCACCACTGCAGTGGCAAGCCTCCCATTTGTACTGCCCAGGGGTACAAGGGTGAGCAAGCAGGGGCTACTTTTGCAGTTGCCTCCCAGGACCACCTCTTGTCAGCCAAAAGCAGTCATTGCCCCGCTCTGCTCTTTCTTTCTGGGTGGTATGGTAGATAGGATGCAGCCCGTTGCACCACCCAAAAGTGAGCAGGTGAGTGACTAGCAACAACAGCTCCTTGCCACTCTCAATCACGCCTCCGATGAAGCAGCTGCTTCCACTGGCTTGTCCACTCCCTCCGGTGGGTGGTGATTGATCCAATTCTCAGTGCCGCCCAGAGTTAAGAGGGCAGGCGAGTGTACAGATAGGGGGAATGCCATGTGCTTACCTGCTTTGCGTAGCACGGAAGAAGGTGCCCTCCAAGCAGCAGTGCTGGCTACTGAGATGGGAACAAGTTGGGGGGTCTTTGTTGGTTCTCCAAGCTACCCCCCTTGAGAGAAAGGGGGTGGATCTGCTGCCGTTTTTGGTCTCTACCTCTGCTGCTTCTCGAGTGAGCGGCAGAGCAGTTAAAAGTGGCTGCAGTATGGTTGTTGCACCCACCACATCAAACAGTTGGGGATGGTGTATGTGTGCAGAGACATTATGCTTGCTTGCTTCAGTTGGCAATCAGATATTAAAGCTGCGCCTTGCTGCCATCTCTGTCTCTGGACAGCATGGAAGTTGGGTGGCCCAGTCCTCCAAGCCGTGCACCCAAAGGATAATAGTGAATGGAGATAAAAAAATTGTCCAGTAACACCTTAGAGACCAACTAAGTTTGTTCTTGGTATAAGCTTTCGTGTGCATGCACACTTCTTCAGATACATTGCAATGGAGATGACATTTGTTTCTTGCCACCATTGTTTGCACACACATGGAACAGCTACCTCCAGTTGCTTGCCTACTACAGCTGTGAGGTGGTGCTATCCTCAGCTCCTGCTGTTGCTTACAAGGAGGATTCAGCTGAGTGAGTGGAGGGTGACTGCTCATTTAAAATGCCACAACCATGCCTACTTGGAGCACAGATAACAGTGTGATGTTAATGCCCAAAGTGACAGCTAGTTAAGCTTGGGAGGTCTCTCAAGTTGCTGTGGACTCAGCACTGCCCAATGGTATTGGTCTCTTATGTCAGGCCCTTGATTTCTGAATATAGTGAGGGGTGATTTGAGGAATTTCATGTAGAGGCTAGTGGGTTTGTCAGAATGACTTTGATATAGAATGTCTCAGTACAGGAATATAGTGTGTGGAAGGAAAATGAATGAATTGCCCCACTGTCAAATTTAGTGAACAACATGGTGTCAATGGAAGGAACATGGATATTGATCCTACCCTTGCAGTCCCTGTGAGTTGGATATAAATGTTAATGCAGCAGTCTTCAACTACATTTCAGGAGTGGAGGGAATAGATTATTTTGCCTGGCTGGTTTTGCTGGTAACTGTTCACAGCTAACATTTTATTTGCTTGGTTTCTTTCATATTCACAGTGCTTTGAAATGGGATCTTGATTGGCTTGTTTATCTCAATATTTTGAGGGTCAGACAGCACTTAATTGCCAACTTAAGACAGCCTATCTGTTCTCTCTATTCTCTCTCAAATAAATAAATAAAATAAAGTTTCAGTATTGAATGGAAAAAGTTTTCTTATGTTTTACTGATAAACTGTTTAATGTGCATAATTTACTTGGCAATATTTTGTGATTCCTCTAATGTTACGAGAGTTAGTTATATAAAAATGATATGGGCTCTTGCAGTACACACACTGGCTCAACCAACTTGATTGGAAGTGCTCTAATTTTAGTGACGGTACTGTTAGTTACATAGTTACACTCTGTGTTCTAATAACTTAGCATTTATACAGTTCATTTTGATTATTCCAAACACTTCATGCATGATCTCTTGTAAAAATGGCTCTGTAATGTCTTAACTATCACAGGTAGCAGATGGGGTCGATGAACAGTGGCTCACGACTGAGATGAGCTTTAAGCTATGGACTTGCAGGTTCCCTCTTAGTCATTGACCTCATTCACATGTAAAGTTTAGCCAAGCCATGACTTGGTTTGCATGAGAAGACATGTGGCACCTGGAGAGGAGATTGTCACCACTTTGCTTCTCCTCTGTTGCATTGCTGCTTTGCCAAACCAAACTATGGCTTAGAATTGTGTGCAAACAATTGCTACATCACCTTCAAGGGTTAAAGTCAAAATATTTCCTCTATGCTATTGGTTATGTTACACTCTGCATTTACTAATTACTTATCCATATGGAAAAGTAAGTTGATAACCAGTGATGGATATGAGCTATGAAACTGTGCGCACTGCTAAATAAGAGTAGAGTTCTGAAACCTGTTTCTCCCCCCACCCTCTGTAAAACAAAGTAGTGAAGCTATTTTATGCATGTTCAGTTAGCAAAAAAACTAGACTAGCCCTTACCAAGTAGCTATATTTTGGGGCATCCAGCTGCTACTGCCTGCATTTTGAGCTTCATGTCCATATATAATATAAACCAGAAGTGCCATTCAGATAATGTTGGGCTATAGTTCCCATCATTATCAGCCAGCACAGACAGTGGTCTGGAGTGATGGGAGCTGTCGTCCATTATCAACAACATCTGGAGGGCACCGTGTTGGCTACCAGTGTTATAAATGGATCTACTGCCCAGGTTCTTAGACTTTGCCAAGTCAAAAAGACATTGCCTCTGAGGTTCAAAGAAAGTGGTTCTGTCAGATCTAGGGCAGATCCATGAAAAATGGAGCAGTGCCATCCACGCTAAAGCAACAAGCCAGCTTTTAAAAATATTGTTTCCCACCCCTCTGGCTAATATTTTCATGGTTTCTCTGATCTACTCAAAATATGAGGTTCAGTAGTGACTCGATTATCTGTCCCTTTGTCTCTATCCGAACTGAGCAGTCATGGGGCAGCAAAGAGCATATCTGTTTCCCAGGAATTGCTTGTTCAGTTTTACTTGTAATTTGAAAATTGTGATTTGTGAGGGACTGAAAGGACTTGTCTCTACAGTTGTTGCTTATTATATTTTATTGGAGTTAGAAAAATCCCAGCTGCCTTGTCCGTTATGTGCCTAAGTGTTTGAAGAAATTTTGATTCCTTGATTCTGTCAATCTACTCAGGATTGGCAAAATGTTCTTAATTCCTGTTGTTTACTCTGTGGTTCTACTACTCAGATGTTCTGAGGCATTCTAGCAACTGGTGGGGGTCTTTATGTTGTTGTGGTCCCCAAGTGGCTTCATTTGGGTGGTCTGTGGTGTGTCTGTAAAAATGCAATTAAAAAGCTGGGTGCCAAAAAGACTGAACTTAAGAGTTCAGAGCTACTCAAGAATAGTGGCCAAAAGTGAGCTATGAACCAGGAAGTCCCCCCAGTTCTTCTTACTCATGGATTTGGGCAGGCAGCTATTCTCTTGCCTACGGTTCCCCATTTGTAGTATGAGAATAGTAATGCTAGTTTATCTTACATAATTACTATAGGAATGACTAGGAAAGTGTACATAAAGTACTCTGGAACACTTGCAATGATGTATGTAAATGTGAAGGGTGGTATTCAGCTAAATTTGACTTGGAGTAGACCCACTGAAATGAATAACTATTATTATGTTAGTGTCAATTAATTTTGGTGGGTCTACTCTATGCCAAACTTAATTGAATACCACCCTAAATATTACTATTGGTCCATTTTCTTTATTTAAAATGCCTTTCTGACTGCAGGTTCTCCATCTCTACATTATGTTCCCACTCATATTTGCACACAAACCGCAAGATGCTATTGGACTGCTTATTATAGAGTAAGTTCCATGGAATGCAGTGGGATCTCTGGGGACCTTATTTAGGATTGGGCTATGGGTTTTCCAGCTTACTGGACAAAGGTGAGCTTTTTGTAGCAATGGACTGCTGAATTGGGCACATGAACATGGTTGTTCACCTACTAGAATGATGTCTCCCTTTTGTAGCCTTATTTGAACTTCTGTTATT